CGCCACGTTGTGATTTTGAAACGTGCAGTGCTCATGTTTATTCAACGAAGTCAAACGCCACAAATAAATCAATGTATGGGAAACACTGGTAATGTATATCGAAATATCGGAAATGTGTTTAAAAATAATATCACCGTTATTGAAAAAAATTATATCGCGATACATATTGATATTGAATTATTGTCCAGCCCTACCTGCACCTAACCTTAACAGTCTTAAGTAATCCGATAACAAATAGTACAATATCTTCAAAGGTCTGACATCAGCAAAAAGGAACATGCTGAACAATACGGTTCTGTTTCTCAACAGAAAGAGTGTGGCAACTGCTAGTCTGGGGAAATGTGATTTACAGTCTAAATACAAAGTTCATTATTCAAAATGTTCAAGTGGCTGTAGTTTTGACAGTGTTAGGCAACACAAATATGCAGGGTTATGTCATTCTGATCCAAACAGAGAAGAAAACCAGTCTGGGTGGAATTACACCTGTCCGGCATCAATCTCGGATGACTCTGCATATGTAAATTCCGCAATTGAGCCTGAAACGCGACACCAGGACCGTGAATGAAAACTAGAGTTGAGATGTAATCGCAATTTCAACTAAGTGGAGAACAGGAATGTTTGAAATGTGAACTGACGACAGATTCAACAGATTAAGCTCTCACAGTATGAGTTTATGGCTGACAGAAAACGCCTGCAATTGAGAGGCTTAATGTATCGACACAGTCTGTAAACATCTGGGATGAAATGGATGGCTGTGTAGGATGTTTTAGCTGTAGTTCAACATCTGCGGACTTTGTTTTGGAATTTGATCAAAATGCAGAAATATGTGACTCTTATCATGCACTTTAATTTTCTGCTTGTTAAGACTCATGTGAAATCAAAGCCTGGCAGATTTTCATAATTGTTTAAGAATAAAAACAAAACAAAAACTTTGTCCTCATGTGTCCTTGAAAAGTTGGCCGGAGTCACCATCAAGTAATCAAAACCCACAGTAGACCAAATGTACATTCCTCTCTCAGGCTGTCTCAAGCTTTACCTTTCAGGAGCCAAAAGGAGCTCTGTTGACTGTCTGGGTTCTCCCACATGAGTGCACACTTTGTCCCTTTTATCATCAAGACTTTTACTGCATCAATGATATGATAGTTTCAAGACTTATTCAGATACGCCAAAGCAATTTCAAAGCCTTTGACTACAATTAGTCAGTTGCGACCTCACCGATCATAAAATAAAAGCACTAATGACCTTTGCTCACAGTTGCGTAGATCTTTCTTTAGGTGAGTGGTTATGAAATAAATAAAAACTACAATTTTGCCAGTTGAGCAAAGGTAAAATCCAAAGCTCTGTCACATTACAAATCAAATAACAACTTCATACAATTACAAAGCGTCTCAGCACGTGACAGGTGGTCAGTCAGCTGTCACAGTCACAAGTTTATTTACTTGTTACAAGTGGGAAATCAGGCTTTTATCATCTGAGTGTACTTGTATTAAATCAGGGTTTTACATGCAAAAGCCAGCTCATCTAGTGACATTTGGGAGTTTATGGTGTATGATCATAAGTGAATGCAGAAACAAATAGCTTCTGCGCTATCTTGTACCAAAGGCAAAATGCGATTTTAAACCATCATAGAAACTAATAGCAAGAAAATGAATAAGTGCAACTGCAGTTTCTTAGCAACTCAGAGCCAAAATCACATATAAACACAGCTAGCTGATGACAGGCCAACACAAGAAACTAGCACATCATATGGATATGAGTGGACTTCTTTGTACTTAACGGTGGCAGTTAAAACCTTAAAGTTGGTAAAGACAAAATTCGGTTTTATCCATGAAGAGAATAGAGTATTCAGCAAACATGTTGCTAGTGTTATTTTAAATAGCCAAGCTGACGAGAGCTCAGAGACATCAACCTGAAAACGGTTCTGTTTCTGTTTAAATTGTTCATCAAATAGGGCGAACTAGAAACTTTTATGTGTCTTACGGAAAGTAATGACTATAATAACAATAAACGACAAAGCGAAAGTAATACAGGACTTACCTGTTTGTTTGTTTGTTTGTTTGTTTGCCCCCCTACACAGCGAGTTTTCCAGCTTTCCTGAGCTGTAGGGGAGGCACGAGCGTTTTCAGGAAGTCTATCGACGCGGTAGGCGGAGGCAACAGGATGATTGACGTGATAAACGTAAGTTACAATCATGAAATACATTCGGTCTGGCCAGCCCATATCTTGGAGATAAAACACGCTTTTGCGCGGTACTCCACAGCACTATCTTCAGTGCTGAAGAGCTTGTTTGCTACATTTATATTCTATTTGATTATTGGTGAGAGAGATATTTAACATCAATTTTATTTTGACTATACAGTTACTTGCGGTTAATGTTTAGTTATGTTCAGTCAAATTATGCACAGCATTGAAGATAATTCACAGACATATAAAACAAAGAATTAAAGAATAGAACAAGGCAGAAAACCTTAAGGGTAGAACATATTTTTTATTATGTTTTGTTAACAGACTTTGATACTTTGCTTGTATAATGTATTATTTCTTTCATAATGAAGCTGTGAAAAGAGGTTATATATCTGCATTTGGAGATGTGGAATGAAATGAAATTAAATGCTTAATAAAACATTCATCATAATTGAAATGGTCATTTATATACGTAATATGATCATTTATATAAGTATATACGTTATAAAAATAGTTTAAAAACATTAACAATCAAGATGTCAATACTCTTCTAAAGATCTTGAGTAAATTGGTAAAAAACAAACTAAGTGGTTCAAGATTTCACAAAGAGAAAAGGATAAATAAATATGTAAGTATCTGACTGGGTAAAATAATGAATTAATGTTAAAGAGAGCTATTTTTACTCATATATTTATATTAAAAAAAAAGATTCCCATTTATGTTATTAAATATATTGTTCTAATAAGAAATTATGGAGGGGGGAATAACATTTTCTATTTTTATGATTATAATTATTTCTAATTTGATCATATATAGTCCAGGAAGACAATAAAAAAAAAGATAAATTGATTCAGTCAAGAAGGTAAATCATGATTATTATGTATTATTATAGTAGCTATTGAAAATTCCCATAGAGGCCCCATATCTAAAGTATTATGTTTTTCTGTTATTGATATTTTGTACCTAGAAATAAAATCTGAAATAAAATCTAATCAAATAAAATGTTATCATTATTACACACTCAACCGACCCTCAATCAATTCCTTTATAAAAACGCATTTTTTTCAGTTATGAACTTTTTCTATACAAACTAGTACAGTCGTTACAAATAAAGAAAATTGTGTTAGGCCCAGGAGAAGTCCATGGTCTTTTTCCGTAAATATAACCTTTCACCTAATATTTCATCCAATGAGATTTGCGGCCCAGCGGAAATGGTCACAACTTGAGAAATGATTGACAGACATTTTTAATGAATCATAAGAACGAAAAAAGACGAGAGGCGGGAACTTCAGGAGCGAGCGGTGGGCGGAGTCTGCCGTCCATCTTTAATGTACTTTAACAGAAGGGGGATTGACGAGCTAAAAACATTACCAAATTTGAAATAAGGAATTGGCGGATATATTGGTCGTGGCTGTCACATAGAGATACTGACGAATATTACACACGTTTGAAAAAGGTATACGACGACTGTGTATTCAATTTAAGAGTTTAAATCCCCCACACCTTCTGTTGGAAAAACTATATGTGAGCTAGCAGAGCGTTAGCCGTCAGCGCTGCTCGACATCACAACAAGAGCAGCTTAATCCATGATAACTGCAGAAATATACAGTATACATTCTATATATACTGCCAGGGTGACATATTATCAGTGCAGATGAGATATGGCGATGAACTGCTGCTGATACAACACGTTAGCATCTTGGTGGCTAGTGCTCAGTGATCAGAGGCTGCGTAAATCTGCGTAAACACACTGTGGTTGTGTTGGCGTTACCGTCTAAGTGATTTAAACTATGAGGACGATCAAGGCTTGCTGTCATTCAAATTCTTCATAATTTCTCTTATTTAGGGGATTGCAAAGGTGGCAGTTGCGTTTATTTGTTGACCTGGAAAGAACTCGATTAAAATATAACTTTGAAGGTATTAATCGTTTTCTGGGCTCATGCAAATTAATCAAGCGGGGTGTTATGATATCAGCCTTTTCTATTGAGATGAGATCTATCTTAGGAGCAGCAGAAACACTTACCATCTGCCTCACACTGAATACTGTATAAGTTACCAGTCTCTCTGATGTGCTTGCAGTGACAGAAGGTATGAAGACAGTATCATAGCGAAGCCATGGCTGATAAGAGAAAACTACAAGGTAAGATGATATGATATAGAAAATATTTTTTTCTCTACTCTCCCCTGCCACAATTGCTTGTACGCAGTAGTTTCTTTTCAGAGGTTTTCTGAATCATAATATGATCTTGTGACTTATGCATAATCATATGCTTTACACAACCAGGTGAAATAGATCGATGTTTGAAAAAAGTTACTGAAGGCGTCGAACAGTTTGAAGACATTTGGAAAAAGGTGAGATGTTAACACCTCAACAACCAATATGTAATGCATAAAGTCTTTGGAATTGTGCACCTGCTGTTATATTTTAATAATCCATTTCATTCTCAGCTTCATAATGCAGCCAATGCCAATCAGAAGGAAAAATATGAGGCCGATCTCAAGAAAGAGATTAAAAAGCTCCAGGTGAGGATGTGCTCATTTGACATTTAGCTTATTTTAAGCCTTTCTGGAATTGTGTGAACATGGATAAATGGAAAAATGACAAACAGAGAAGCGTTTCTTGCTGTTGGACTAAGTGTTAGCACTCTTGGAACACTTCTTGGGCAATGAATTTAGAGAAGTGAAACTAGCTGTTGCGTAGAATGAATTCTTGTACTCTTTCTTTAGAACCAAGAGAAAAATATGTGTTTGCAATCAGTATAATTGTTCTCACCTGTTTTTCTTCCTAGCGGCTACGAGACCAGATTAAGACATGGGTGGCATCCAATGAGATCAAAGACAAACGGCAGCTAGTGGAGAACCGGAAGCTTATTGAAACGGTACAAGAGTTTTGCCTGATTCCTCAATGCTATTTTATTTTAATGCACTTATCACAGTGTCCAAAATTCTTTTGTACTTTTGATAAAAAATATCTGTGACTTGGCATAACATTTAAATTTTGCCCCATGAATTCTTAGATGTATTTCCCACGTTTAATCGGTCAAGCTTGCCCCCCTTAACCTGAATCTCTGTCTCTTTCTTCTCAGCAAATGGAGCGATTTAAGGTGGTTGAAAGAGAAACCAAGACAAAGGCCTACTCTAAAGAGGGGCTGGGCTTGGCTCAGAAAGTTGACCCGGCGCAGAAAGAGAAAGAGGAAATGGAACAGTGGCTCACGGTACAAGAGGGCTCATGGATAACATTGGGGGGTAGAAAAACTTTGAACAGGATGCAAGTAGTGGACTAATGACATGATTTCTCTCTCTTGCAGAACACAATAGACACTTTGAACATGCAGGTGGACCAGTTTGAGAGTGAAGTTGAGTCCCTCTCTGTTCAAACACGGAAGAAGAAAGGAGACAAAGAGGTCGGCATTTCAATTTTTCCATTTCCCCCGTTTCTTTCCACTGCTTAACTATTTTATTATAGATTAGCTTTCCTTTATATGCATTCACTATTATGTGAACCCTCACTGTTAAAGACCTCAGCTTGTTCTCAGATTCTCACACAGTTCTGTTCTATAGAAAGCTGTTTATTGTGTTTGTTTTCAGAAGCAGGATCGGATTGAAGAGCTAAAGAGGCTAATCGAAAGACACCGGCACCACATTCGTATGCTAGAGACCATCTTGAGGATGTTGGATAATGATTCGATCCAGGTTGACGCTATCCATAAGATCAAAGATGATGTGGAGTATTACATTGACTCTTCGCAAGACCCAGACTTTGAAGAGAACGAGTTCCTCTATGATGATCTGGACTTGGAGGAGATACGTAAGTCTGTGTGTGTGGGATGGATGTTTTTAAATGAAATGGCTTTGTCAAGATAGGTCACATTTATAAATATCTCTTTCTCTCTAGCAACAACTTTGATGGCAACATCTCCTCAGGGCCATATTGAAGATGAGATGTTCCTTCAGTCCAGCAGCACACCGACCTCCACCACTTCCTCTTCCCCCATCCCTCCATCTCCTGCAACAGGCACAACGGTAAACCACTTTCTTTCATTATTCCTCTTGTTTCAGTCTAGACTGCAGAGGATCTCTGTCATTTTTTAATGACTCAGAACCACCCATCATGCTCTTTTCTGATCTTTTATTGACCTTTAGTCACAGAATTGTTTCTCTTACTATACATTGTGTGTGAATATGTTTTACTCAGGAGATCTCGGAGGATAAGAGAGGCCGATCTACAGGCAGTGAAGTCAGTCAGGTGAGACCTCAGAACCTCAGTTAAAGGTTGTTCCTAACCTGTATGACTTTATTTCAGTTAGGCCTGTCGCAGTAATCAATATATCGACTTATCGCGCAATATATGTACATGACCTCAATAATTTTTGGTGACGCAATATATCGCCCATTATATTTACTTAAAAAAATAATGTCACCATGTTTTGTACATTCCACTTGCGCCTGTGTCTTTTGCAGCTTCTCGTACATAATGTGGTGTAGTCATGAGGTGCTAGTTCAAATGTAAGAAATGCTTCTACAAAAAAAGTTTCATCTGCAGATATGGCCTTGTATAGGGATCTGTGCCTTTCTGACTGCTAAGTACTGATTGTGTTTTTCAGCAATAGTGTGCACCCTTAATTTACTGAGAAAAGAAGGTCAGGGAAAAATCTGTAGATGGAAAAACCTCCAGACAAGTTCTTTGTGCATTTTTATTTTCTTCTACTTGTTACTTTGCACTTTTTGTTAGAAAATGTTTATTTACAATTTATTCAAGTTTTTAAGGTATCTAATGCTTTGATACTTAATTTCCATGATCTAAATATTCTTAAAAATTAAAAGTTTGTTGTCATTTGGAAGTGTGTAGGCCTTCTTGCATTATTATGCTGTTACATTATGATTATATATTCAGTGGTCTTTAAAATGACAATAATATCGCTTATCGCAATTATTTCTGGGGCAATATATCGCACAACAAAA